GATTCCCGGTAGATCCCCCTGCACTTTTACTTTGGGACTGCGGGTTAGATTCCCGATAGATCCCGCTGCATATTTACTTTGGGACTGCGGGTTCGATTCCCGATAGATCCCCCTACACTTTCACTTTGGGACTGCGGGTTAGATTCCCGATAGATCCCCCTGCATATTGATGGTTGGACTACGGGACTGTATCCCGGGAGATCCTTCGGTTTGGCACATGAGTTGGACTACGGGACGGTATCCCGGGAGATCCACTGGACAGTTGAGGAAAGGGCTATTGGACGGTATCCTGGGAGACCCTCATTGTTATCCTTGGTATTGAGCTGTAGTCATTCTGTGTTTATTTTGTTCTTTGTGTAGTTGTTATTGCCTCGTTGACCTGTCTTATCTCACTGCTGTACTCATTATTTCTGTCAGATTTTCATACTGTTAATTAATATTATATTTTACCTCGGTAGGGCCCAGACCTTCCTCGTCACTACTCAACCGAGATGAGGTTTGGCACTTACTAAGTATCGCTGTGGTGTACTCATGCCCTTCCTGCGCATGTTTTTCATGTGCAGATCCAGGTACCTCTACTCAGGCGCACTATCCTTGAGGCGAGGAGATACACGGAGACTTCGAGGTATATCTGTCGCGTCCGCAGACCAAGAGTCTCTATTCTGTTCCAGCTTTAGTATTTAGTTTATTCCTTTCCTCTCAGTTGTTTAGATATTCTGGAGTTAGAGCAGCGTACTATGTTTCTGTTAGCCTGTGGTTCCCGTGAGTTTCCGGGTTTTGGGATTGAGTTGTAGACTTTCGCATTTCTTTTGAGTTGTATAGGCCGAGCGGCCTTATATGCAGTTATTATTTTAATATGTTCAGTTTTAATTAATTATTCCGCAAGTTAGGTTGTTATTTCCGCATTGTTAGGCTTACCTAGTTATAGGGACTAGGTGCCATCACGACATGTTCATGGAGGGTGAAATGGGGTCGTGACATCATTGAACTCAAAATTAGCAGGGTTACCAACACATTTGAGGCCAGTCACAAGCGCAAACTCCCTTATTGAGAAAGATAATGAAGTACCATTGACGTGTATTGCAAATACATTATCAGGACTTCCTTCTAACTGGAGAGCCATGAAGCATCTGAAGAGTTGATGCTGGAATTCACAACGCTTCATTTGAAGGAAATTTCCAAAACAAGTATTACCCAGTTGTTTGTACTGCTCTGAAGTAAGATTTTCTTTTAGCTCGGAGACTATGTCAGTGTTAGTATATACACTGATATGCGGTGCAAATATAGGCTGTTTTTTCACAAACAGCTTAATTCCCTGCATTTAACAAGAATAAATACATATAAATACAACTGAATACAACACATATTTCATAGTACAACTGACATGAATACATATGAATACAACTAAATACAGACTGCAAAAATAAACTGGAATAAGATATCAGTGATAGAAATATATGTACTAATATAATACATACGCATACAACAGATAAGACATTGCAATTAGAACAAAACAGTGATAGGGAACTTTGAAAATCCTTATAAATACAACTATAAGAATACATCAAAATACATATACATATCTGTATCATTGATTTCTAGAAGTACAAAAATACATTGAATATCCTTTTTGAACAGAGAATTCAACAGGTTTATACATATAAATACAGATGAATACATCAATAATCCAGATGAATACATCAGAAATTACCTTTTCTTCCAGTGTGTCCGAGCTTTTACTTGCTTCAACCTCCTTCCACTTGACAGATGAAGCTTCAGAAATATATTTTTTCCTCTTTTTCGCAATGGGAAGTCTCGTTTCCTTCAATGATTTCTCAACTTGGGTTTCTTTGAACTTGTCATGACGAGATTTTGTTCTCTTCTCCAATGCCATATTTTTTGCTAAACCTGTGTCCAATTCCCCTTGAGTGATTTACAAGAAGAAAGAGGGCCCATCGAATGTGAGAATTTTAGTGGGTATACCTCTAGTACTCAACTTCCAGGGTGTCTGATCAACATTGTGAGAATACACTTGAATACTGTTGATTAGAGAAAACTTGGTGAGTAGATATGCTGAGAATAAACCAAAATAGCGAAAATCAAAAAATTGAAATACTTACCACACTAATTATAGAAACAAATGACAACAATGGAGAGAAATTTAGCGTTTATGCCGAGATTGTGGAAGAAGAAAGCGGTGTGTGTGAGAGGTTTCTCCGGTTTTGGGCGTGTTTACAGGGAATGGGAAAGAGAATAGAATGTATCAAAATAAGAGAGAGAAAGAACTTGTATTAAGAAGTTTTAATGCAATACGGTAATTATGAGAGAGAAAAATCTGAAAAGGGAGAGAGAAAAATAAAAAATAACGTGTTTAGTGGCTTAAGTGTAGGAGATAAGCAAAATTAAAAATTTTGCTATAAACCATAAAAGATATCTATAGAATATAATTTATTTAAATGGTATTTATTTAATATAAATAAGGTATTAACCTTTGCTATATGAGGTAAAAATTCCTATGAAAATTAGATAATGACTGTCAAGTCAGCATGTAATCTGCTGCAAGTCAAGGCTTAGTCCAGAATGTTTATTTCAATTTGAGTAATTAAACTTATCAAATAAGATACAAAAATCAGAACAAGAAAAGAGGAAAAAACCTCTGAAAATGGAGGATATAGTAGAATTTCATTCTCCCAAAAGTAAATTGTCACACTACGTTGTCCATCACTTTTTGCATTCCAACCCAAATTTCCACTTGATACGTACAAAAAGATCATCTCAAAGTAGGTACATACTGCTACTTTACAAAGAGCAGCAATCTTGAAGCAAACCGTAATAGAACCCCAGTATACATGGAATTCAACTTTGGATACCTATATGTTGACCACAACGCTGTTGCCAATTACTTATGTTAATGGAAGCAATAATTGTTAAGGAATTTGATGATACAAAAATTACAATTCAACTATATATATATATATATATATATATACAAATTGGAATCTTACTAATCTAATTCAACCTTCCTTACTCTATGCAATTTATGGTAAACTAATGGAAGTCAACGTTTGGAAACAATAAATCCAGCATATTCTGATCATATTCCTTCTTTCTAATTCCCACAACAGGATATTGATTGATTCAACAACACAAACGGTAATGGCAGAACTCTCGCTTCCACAAAGTTATCTATCATTTGCAAGATCTAATTCAATACAAGTCGCACATTGACGATTATAGTCTCATTATCATTTTGTCAAAAGCTCAACCAAGCTTTTTCAGCTATGCGCTTATCATAAAAGAGCAAAACTGCAGCAGCAAAGATGAAAAAAACATTCTGATCTATGATCTATTCCTCATAGAAACCCAATGGCACAAATAAAGTATAACACTCAAAAGAAACTTTTGAAAGTAACAGTCCCTGCAATCCAATTAAACATGCAGAGACTCTGCTTCACACTTAACCAAGTTAAAGAGAGTTCGTGATATCACTTAGATCCGTATATTATCTCTTTATATCGAACTCCAAACTAGGAGTAGCTTAAAAGTAAAATAACACAAAGAACCCACCTTAAAGGTCTCAATAAAATTGACCTCCTATAAGGTTCTCCGAGAGAACGAATAAGCGAACACACGAAGGATTTGCATTCTGCACAATCCAAGGATGCTCAAGTACCCTTTTCAGGGGCAGACACCGAGTAGAACCCTTAGAAGCATATAAATCCCACAAACATGAATAAAAAATAACAAGTTAGCCCCGAGATTATGTGGTGTTGTATTTTAAAGTATCTCAATGGATTAGAGAAAAATCTGACTAATAAGGTCCTTGGCAGTTGATGAGACAATTTGTTTTGCAGAAAATTTGAGATCCACTTGCACAATTTGTGCACGTCCATAGAAAAACCTTGCCATTATACCTATCATTATTAAACTGGTAATATTTATATAAGTCGTTTGCCATTCAAACTCGTCCATGCCATAACTAGCTAATGACGAAAGGTTTGAAAATTGTAATGCTTGTGTACACACTGTGTAATTTTATTCTGTCGCTTCATACTCATCCGTGCGGAATTTGAAAATTGGATCATGAACATTAGTTGTAGCATTGTATGAAAGAATTCACACTTTTTCTAAAAGGAAGACCTGTGTATAAAATGTAATGTACTACTATTTCTTCTAAAATCTTCTTCCTTTTTTGTGTTTCCTATTTAAGTTTCTCGTTAAACTTTTAGTTTACATTTGGAAGAAAAGTTTACCTTTTATATGTGTCTGAGTGTTCCTTTGCTTCAAATGAAGGCATCCCGTACAGAAACTCAAAGCATAGGATACCAAGGCTCCAAATGTCTGCACTTGCATCATGCTCCACGCTTTCCACTGCAAGTTCTGCCACCAACATATCACAAAACATATAAAAGCAATTCAAAATTTGCTAAGCCAAATTTTTATACATGTCATGTGAAGGTAAAAGCAAGTTAACATAAAAGAAGCTTTTTTTTTTTAAAAAAAAAAAAGAAGAAAAATAGATACCACACAAAGCCATGCTAATACAATAACTTTTATATAAAACTTCCAACATATATCGTATGACATGAACCATGTTAATGTAACTTCTTGCACATAACACGTAGTCTAGGCTGCCACACATAGTATTTTAAGATAAGTTATCAGTTGCCCATTCAAAGGATTCAATTCTCCTTCTTTTGAAGATCATCTTTTTAAGATGCACAATATCAAGAAAATTCTGCCGAAAAAAGTATTTGGTTAGGCACGAAGATAAACATCTTTTCAATAATTTCTGCATCTGTAAAATACTTGGCGGGTGCAACACAACAGAATATGTCATCTTTCATTGAAGCTCACAAGATACTACTTTGTTTTTATCTTTTTAGTGAAATTCGATACCAATCCAGCCATATACCCTAATAATGAGTTCACAAGTCGTACAAAAATACATTGGAGGAGGGTCACCTAATGCCAAAAAAATATTAAGAACTCATATAATTATTATTGAGTTATAAAACGGTAAACATAACACAATTTTACAGCTGGTAAAAATGACAAAAAATGAACTACTTAGACTTTGGTATATATAATCACAGAAAAGTAATAATTTTGCAAAATAAATTGCAAAGAAGATGTAGTAAGTCTAATAAAGATAAAATTGTATAGTCAGTTAAAGATGTTGCAAAGCAAGATGGTTATCCATATATATAGAAGTTGTTGTTAATATGTTAGTTGTTATCTGATTCGAAGGACCAGTACGATGGTATAAGATAAACCCAAAGCAACTTTTTCAATTCTATGCTTGGATAAAGTTGACAAAATAACAATTAGTTCCTTAATTTCCTGCTGGAAGAATCATGATTCTTCGCAAATCTTCACATTTGAACTGATCTTAATTATCTCCTATTACAGTATGTCAAGATGCCAAGCTTCCTCTACTAAGCTAATAGAAGCGTTTACCAACTTATCATTCTAAAAATTAATTGGTCATTCTGACAATTTTCACTTACCCAAGCCCTTGCATATCAATCATTTGCCTATTCCTTTTCCCCAGAAGTTCAACCATGACCCCATGTGTTTCTCAGGACTTCAACAGTAGCAATCTGCAAAATATGGAATATAGAAGTCAAGACTAAGGAGAGCCCTAATCAGGAGATTAAAACACTTAGATACCACTTTCGAGATTGCACATTCAAAGGGTATTTTTTTGTTAGCCAAAGTTAACTGGTTTAAGAGGTCTCTATAATTGTAATTTCTATTGGGCAGTTTCACAAACACAATGAAAGTCCAAATGCAGTATGTAAAATAACAACCTCAAGGCCATTCTTATTGCGCTTTGACAAATTTGAAACATATGAAAATTAAGACTAACCCATGAAAAGAGCCAAGACAAAATAAAGAGCAAAAACATGTGAGACGGGAATATAGAAGATTTGAGTAGAGAAAGGCAAGAAAACGGAAGAACAAAGGAGTAAAAAAATAGAACTCACCGGATAGTTCCACAAAGAAACAAAGCAAAACTTAATAGTACCAGAAAACAGCAAAAGAGATGGACCGCAAGAGCAGAAATTAAGTAATTGGCAAGAGCATAAATTAAGAAATTGTGAAATTTTATCAGAGAAAGCGCGGAGGAATTTCGGATTCACTGCTAAGGATGACAATTGCGTACAATAACCACGCGTCAAATCTGAAGAAACTGGGTAGCACGTGTATATTTACATGGGAGTATCAGGATAAGTAGAGGAATAAACCAAAATCTTAGGGGTTTTTGTCATTTCACTTTAACCAGAAGCTCCTCTCCCTTATCCCTTACTAGTTTTACCTATATGTATGAGTATAACTTTTTAAAAAATTTATAAATAATATTAAATAATACATTTGAGTTATAAAATAAAATTTAAAAAATATAAGCTCTTGAAATGATAAATATTGATCGTATTTAGTTAAAAAAAATAACTGGTGACCTAGCTAAGCATGGAAACAATTCAGATAATTTTAAAAGCTTAATGATCTATCACGTATTCGCCTCTTTTATGTTAACATTGTATGAAAATGATTGTTTTAGGTACTGTATATTTTAGACAGGTCAACTAAAAAAATTGCGACAGATAAATTATGTAGCTAAGAAAACTCTATCGCTCAATAAAAAATAACAAAAAATTATTAAAAACTGTGACGACCCGACCCGTCGTCCCATGTGTTACCGCCCCGTTTCCCCTTATGCTTATTCATGTTTCATTATCGGCATTTGGTTGTTAGAGTTGAATTGGATTGGTTTTGGTAGGAAATGAGACACTTAGTCTCTTTAAGGAAGGTTTGGTTTGGAAAAGTCAACCGAATGTTGACTTATGAGTTAGAAGGCTCGGATGTGATTTTCGGTGATTCGGTTAGCTCCGAGGAATGATTTGTGACTTAGGAGTATGATCGGAAGTGATTTTGGAGGTCCAGTGTAGAATTAGGCTTGAATTGGCAAAGTTAGCATTTTGGCGATATCCGGTTGATAGGTGAGATTTTGATCCGAGGGTGCAATAGCTTCGTTAGGTGATTTGGGATGTGTGAGCAAAATTTCAGGTGATTCAGAGGTGATTTGGTTGAGTTTTTGATCGAATGCGTGTTTCAGAAGTTTTGGAAGAACTTAGGCTTGAATCCGATGAGAATTGATGATTTTGGTGTTGTTTGAGGTGTTTTGATGATTGGAACAAGTTTGTGTGATGTTTTGGGATATGTTGGTGCTTTTGGTTGAGGTCCCGGGGGCCTCGGGATGATTTCGGATGGCTAAACAGGAAGATTTGACTTAGAAATGCAGCAGAAAAATGCAGCAGCAGTGCAGGGTGATTTTGTTCTTCGCGATCGCGGAGGGCTCTCGCGATCGCATAGAAGGTTTTGGGTGTCTGAGATTTTTCTTTACGCGTTCGCGGTCAGGGAGGTGCGCTCGCGTAGGTTCGAGACCTGGAGCATTGCGTTCGCGGGGCTTGCCTCGCGTTCGCATAAGAGGGATTTAGGACCCTTGTCATTTGTTCTTCGCGTTCGCGATCTGGGGGACGCGTTCGCGTAGCAGAGCCAGCTGAAGGTCCGCGTTCGCGGGTTGGTCACCGCGTTCGCATAGGGGAAATTTGGGTAATTGAGATTTTGTTCATCGCGAACGCGGAGGTTGGAACGCGTTCGCATAGAGTAAATTAGAGCTGGGCAGAAGGGTTTTATTAAACATTTCCTCCGCGAAGCTTAGTCTATTTCCACCATTTTTGAGCAACCTTGAGAGCTTTTTGACGAGGATTAAAGAGGCATTCGACTGGGTTTGATTGGAGGTGAGTCTTATGACCTAGAAACATCATTTAATTGAAGAATCAACACTTAAATTCATGGAAATTTGATGAAAAAGGGAAGAATTAGGGCTTGACTTTTTGAATGAAAAATTGGGATTTGAGGGAGCATTTGAGCTCGGATTTTGGAGCTTTTGATATGTATAGACTCGTGGCGAGATAAGGAGTCCATTGATATAAAAATTTCTAAGTTTCGAGAAGTGGGCCCGGGGCTCGGGTTTTGTCTATTTCGGATTTCTTGATGTTTTTCGACCATTTTCGATTGGGTATTATTCCTTTAGCATATTGTGACGTATTCATTGTGGTTTTAGTAATATTTGACGCGCGAGGAGGTGGATTAGTAAGCAAAAAAAAAACTAATCCACACAGGCAAGAAAACATCCAAGGGCACAACCCAAAACAAAGCCAAAACAAGTTTGAAACAAAAATTATCTGTAAAACACATCCACACTAGCGACGCAGGAAGTAAGTAAGAGTGTTGCAGATCGCCTCCTTCAACTATTCAAATCTGGTGTTTGCAGCAACGCTCATTCCATCTAGCCTATCATGAACCTCCTTGAAGGCTTTAACCGCATTCTTCCTTACCCTTTGCACAGCCACTCTGATTTTAGACACATCAGACCCTGTTCCCTTT